ACTCTTACTCCTGACTATGCCCCTCATTGTTTTTACTTGAAACAACATTTTAAAGAAAAGCTAGAACCCGATATATACTACTCCGTACGTAGTAGTATCCCTCCGTCCTGAATTGAACTGCAAACTTTGATCGACACAAAGATTAAACAATGACAATAAATGATGCTTGTTTTTTACACTTTTGTCCATCTTTCTAAAAGTAAATGTCTTTAAGTTAATGGGAAAAAAGTAAAAGTAAGGGTAACTTTGTCACTTTATTCTTATTTACATACCTAAAATAGAAAGTGGAAAATCATTTTAGGATAACCAAAATAGGAAATTTTGCAAATCAAATTGGGACGGAGGGAATAACTTCTAACTGCTTCTAGGTATTTTTCTAAATAACTGAAACTAATTGGATAATTATAATGCCAACAAAATTCATCTAACCCCCAAAATACCCTTCAATAATTATACTGCTTCAACAAAACTCATATAAGAGCAACTTCAATGCTATAATGTGCACGGTGCACATGTGGCATGAGAGATAGTCACATAAATATTAGTAAATAAATTCTTTATCTCCTTATTTGAATGTTTTTATGCAGTTTTGATAAGTTTTTTTCCACATTGTCAAGGAGACCGTCTAGATGTTGACATTGCAGGTAGAAACTTACCAAAATTGCATAAAATCATTGAAATACGGAGAGAGATAATTTACTAAGTATTTACTAATATTTATGTGGTTATCCCACATGTGCGACGTGCACACTATGAGGCCGTTTGGTAACACTGTTTTTCGGCTTATCAAACTTATCATCCAACTTTTTCACCAAACACGTAACTTTTGCTTTCGCGCACTGAATTGTGTAATAAGCACAAAAAGTAAGGTTGAAGTTTCTTTTCTAGCTCTATTGGCTGAAGTTACTGTAGACGACCGTTTTAGCTATTTTTACATATAATTTTTTCTTTATTTGATTAATAAAATATATTTTAAAAGTATTTTTTTCTTAAATCAGCAGAATCAACCAATGCAGTCACTTCAGCCAGAACTTCATAAATTTCGGAGAAACAGCCAAATCAGCCGATTTTCGTGCTACCAAACGGTTCTATACCAATTGGACATGCTCTAACCCACAAATTCATCCGCCGCGTCTCCATATCAGTCCGTTGTCCAGCTCGTCTCCCAAACTGTGGGTGTCGCCGCAAACGCCGCTGCGCCGGTGGTTGTCGCCGACCGAACAATACACTCCTTCCACGGACGCCTGGGACTGGGTCATGGCACAACTGTCGCCGCTCTGGTGTTCGTTCAGGCAGATTCACGGCAGGCAATGGACGTCCTTCCACAGACAGTTGGCCAGTTGGGGATTGGGATGGCACGTCTTCCCGAACCCTGTCTTTCTTCTTTTCTCCCCGACTGCATCTTTTTTTCTCCGAGCTTTCATCTTCGCTCTCGTTCTAGAGAGCAATGAAGATCAGTGTTGATCCACAAGAGAGGAGATCGATGGAGGCTGCTACTTTTTAGAGTTCAAGCAACAGTGCAGGCTGATGATGAGAGCAGGTTTGTAGTGATGGGAGGTCTCGGGTTCAATTCTCATCAAGGGGAAGATAAGGGAGGTCTTTCTCTCAATAATTCTTCCTACCTTCACGGAGTTGCTCAACGGAGTTGTACACATGTATGATAATGAAGGTAGCGGGTTCGTGTGGTGGGAGGAGCAGCCTGAAAGGTGATGTAAGTCCTGTTGGATTCGTCCTTTGGAGCCAGTACTGACGAGGCTGACTGTGATCAGATCCGAATTTAACTGTCTAGGGGCTTTGGAGGGTAGTTCATGGGAGCGTAAGCCCCGACACCTGGATTAAAAAAAATTATCAATTCTATCATCTTCTCAGGATTTTAATTAATTTTTTTGCTTCTTTTCGTGTCATTTTTTTGTAGGGTTGCTTGAGTGTCCACTTGGGATTGACCGAGTTCTTTGGTTACTAACACTTTCATTACTAACACTCCCAAACACTTCATCCAAACAGGTCCTGAAGTTCAACAGATTGAACACGGGCAGAGATGATGAAACGTAAAGAAAGAGGTGATGTATGATCACGGGGTGAAGCGAGAGCACTGGGCCGTTATGAGCCGGTACAAAGAATATTTTTGATTTTTTTACACGGATTTTTTTACACTAAAAATAGACGTAGTAGCAGAAGCAACCATGGAAATAGGCAGGCGAAGCTAGAAGACGGAAGCTATTGGGCGGCATTAAAAAATATTGTATACATCTACTTTAAAAGTTCCGGCGAAGGAGGCGGAAGCACCAGCTCGCCCCGGCGAGCCGGACTCGTATGTATTTCTCTTCTCATGTCCTCCTCCTCCTTCCACCTCTCTTTTCTTCTTTTTTCGATTTTTTCTTATTCTCCATTAATTATTTTATTTACTTTGAAAATTTGTATTTCATAACTCGAATGACCAGTGAAAAAAAAAGTTGGATCCGATTTTTATTCATTAATTTTGATTAATTTATTTTAAAGTTCAAAATTAACCAATTTGCAACTAAAAAAGGTACTCTCTATGGAATTAAAGTTTGTATAATTTAATTTTTTTTACCTTTTTGGTAAATAAAGTCCTTTTACATTTATGAAGATGTCACTCAATTTACTATTTTTCTCATATTTTACATTTTAAATTTTAAACAAAATATTTTTATATGGATATCCCATAATTTCATATGAGAATATATACCATAATTTTGAATTTGGGAGTGGTATACGTAAGTGCCATGTTTTATATCTGTAAGTGCCATTTTTATATCTATAAGTGCCATGTTTTATATCCATAAATGTCATATTGTTATACATTAATGCCATTGTTACTTCTAACATGGCAATACATAGTATTTCATCACTTTTATGAAGATGGAAATCTAACAAATTAGAGTTCAATAACTAACTGACCGAATCAGTAAGACAAGGAAGATCTAGATGAGGAACCGCCCTAGTGCGGCGGTGGGAGAGCAGATGGCAGCGGTTCTATAGAGCGTAGTAGCGCCAGAAGATGGAGGCGGCAAACGGCGATGGCCGCCACCGCCGCCAATGGCACCGGAGATGATGGTTGAACTGTCATGCGGTGGTGGGAGAGCAGATGGTGGTGGTTATACAGAACGCAGTGACGCCGGAAGATGGAAGCGACAGACGGCGTCTATAGTCGGCGGAGGTGGTGTCCGGCAGTGGCAGACGGCAGCGGGGGCGGCCGCCGGCGGTGACACCAGAGATGATGTTGGTTCGGCACAAGATCTTTTTTGATCGCATGTGGACTGCATCTGTGTAAATTTTACTCCGTATTTTATTTTGTAATGCTGAGTTTTACGGAGTAATTATTAATAAAAAGTCAGATTTGTTCTTTAAGGGTAGTTATGTCAAGATCGATCTTTTTACTCCTATGAAACATTAAAGTCCTGTTATTGCATTTTTATCATTATTTACTCCTAGCTAGGGAATTATCTCTAGATTTTTTCAAAATTTAGGTTGGACTAGGGTCAGTGCTGGCCCTCCCCTAGCTATGCCCCGGAGTATTTAATTACTCAAGGGTAACATTGCACTTTTGAAGTCTACTCCTAAAAAATCATTTTTTTAATCAAAACTCTAACTTTAGTTCTTTCATTACACTTCCATTCTAAAACAGTGCCAACTTTTATCATTAATCACTTTGTCAAAAAACACTAAAAATTTACTTTTTAAAGCAAAAACAAACGTAAACACTCCCTTTTCCAAAACAACTATGGATAAAGTATAAGACTATGTTTGGCAGGCATAAGTCTCTACCTTTTAGATTTTGTACTGTATAAAAAGTTTTTAAAAGCTTCTAGTTATATGTTTGACATGACAATTTTCAAGAGTTTTTTGAAAATAAAAAGCCTGTGACTTTTAATATTAATTAATCCTAACAACTTCTATACCAAATCGAACTAAATCAAACAGTAAGCTTTTTACCAAACAACTACCACCTTTTCTCTTTAAAATCTTTTCAGTCGCTAAAAGCTACTCCCTTCGTCCCCCTGTTACTGTCCCATTACGGTTTACGATGCTTGATTGACGATAAAACAAACAGATCCCTGTCCGCACTCAAATTATTTTTAGGGAAAAAAATTACATGTTCAGAAACTACATTAAAAGATTTACAAAGTCGCAAAAACCAGAATCAAATTTGATAAAAAATTGATAAATAAAGTAAGAGATTAAGAGTGATTTGTGTTGACCAAGTGAATAGGAAACGGGATAATAACAGAGGGACGGAGGAAGTAACAATTATTAAAAAACTCACAAAAGTATCTTTTCAGCTAGTTGTGTCAAACATAACCTAAATGATTATATTCAACAACTTCATTAAAAAATACTCACTCCCCTTTTTCAACTATTGACCAACTAAATCTACGTACCCGCCCCGTAAAATACAACCCATATGATTCAACTTAATTATAATTAAATGACGAGTCGTATTGCTTTTTTAAAGGTGATTATTCTAAGTCTAGTTCGAGGGCTAACGATTGCCGATCCTTTTATCGTTTTATCTGAATGCTGTGATATCAATTTAAGTCCTTCTTCCGAAAAATGTCCCTAAATATTGTCATTTTGGTATTTAGTCAATTAGTTTATGATTTACATTATTTATCTCTCTTATGGAAAAATTTAACTAAAGTAATTTTATTTTATTAATCTTTTATCGATAAAATTTAACAAGGTTATACATAGCCGTTTTTTTCAAATGACAACCCTGCAGCGATTTGATCCGAATCCGTCAAAAAACAAACAGGACCATAAAAGATCGAAGAAGTAAAAATAACCATATTATGTAGGGGTGGGCAAAAAGAACCATAACCGCCTAATCGCTTAAAAAAACTGTATAACCGTTAATTTTCTGGTTAACCATACCACTTTTAAAACGAAATCACGGTACGGTTAACCAATTAAGTAAAAAAAAGTTTTACGGTGGGTTAACCGTTTTAAATCGATTAGAACCGGTTTACCGAAGTCTTACCGAAGAAAAACCCTTTTGCTTCCCCAGCCGCTCCACCAGGTCTAGAGCTCCATCCGTAAAACAATGTCCAGAGCCGCCGACCTGATATAGGCGGTCGATCTCTTCAGCTCCAAATGGTATTTCATCCTCTGCTCGACCAGCCCATGGAAAACAATGCCTTTCTTCTTCCATCTTTCTCCAGAGCCGCAAATCTGATTTAATTTAAGCGATCGATCTTTTTGCTACATATCCAGGTATTTCATCCTCCGCGCTCCATTTCTCATATTCAACACAGGACCGTCCATGAGGCCAGTTAACTTAGGCAGTTGCCTAGGGCCTCTATTTTTTGCCTTCAAATGCCTTTTTTGTAATTTCTCATTTCATCTTAAGGTCCCATTTTTGTTATTTTAGAGTATGATCTTTGAGCTTTGAGTAAACAGTTGCAGAGATTTTGCTATTTACTATGAAGCTGTGGAGATTATGTCAGTCACTTAGTCAAATTAATGCCCACTGAAGTGTTATTTGGTCGAGTTTGTTGAATCTAATCTTGCAAATGGTCGAAGAAAGAATATCATTTGAAAAAATTCATATTCTAGGACAAACAAGTAAATAAGACTTCTGATTATTCTGGGTATTTCTGCTTATTTCATCTACAAGCATATTTGTCAACCTTAGTTAATCTACCCAAATGAGGTAGAAAATTTGGTGAATTTGTCTACTGACCATTTAAAATGGGCATTTGGCTGTTACTAAGCACTCTCTAAAATTGTACGTAGCCAAAACCAGTCATCTTTCAAGTGAAATTTGGAGCAATTTCAGGCATATTTCATAGTGCCATACACCTAGAACTATAAAGCTTTTCCTAAACTTTATTCATTATGTATGGTTCAAGATGATAATTTGTGTGTTTAACCTTTATGTCTATAGCAAAGATCAGTACTCTGTAACTTTAAGTTTTATGTTTCAATTTTGAATAGTTTAGCTTCATCTAAGCATCTCAAATATGATGTTTCATTAGTAACTTTACTTGCTTAAATATATGTTAACATTTTATTATTATAGCTTTTTTTTTGTTATACGCTAAACTTTACTCGTCTTTTCTTTTAATAGATGACAGACATGAATCTGAAGGAAACTGGTCAAGAGGTCTTGGGTGAGGAAGAAGTGAATTCCATAGAAGTTCATTCTAAAAACATGAGTTTGGATGCAGTTGGAACAAAAAGCAACTCCACTAAGAGCAAATCATATACCGACAAGGAAAAAGCTCAATCATCAACTTCTGCGGTGAGTGTTTCTGGACCATCTAAGAAAAGAAAAAAATCAATCTATTGGGAGCACTTTGAGCAAGTAGATAATAATGGGTATCACAATTGCAAATATTGTAAAAAAAGAATCCGTGCAGTAGTAAAAAATGGCACAAGTGGCATGAAAAATCACCTAGAAAGATGCGCAGAGTATCCTCCCACTAAGGATAAAAAGAAAAGACTCGTTGCTTTTCAATCCACAACTTCTCTTAAAGATGGAACCATTCGAACTGATAATAATACTGAATTATGGCATTTTTGTCACGAATCTGCTAGGAGAGGACTTGCTCGAATGATCATTGTTGATGAGTTTTCATTTAGTATAGTAGAGCGTGAAGGATTTCGTGACTTCTGTAAACTTCTCAATCCCGAGTTTGTGGTTCCTTCTCGTAGAACTGTTACTAGGGATTGTTATGCATTGTTTATTGAGGAAAGGAGAAAACTTAAGAGTTCTTTGAGTAATTTGTCATGTAGAGTTTGTCTCACAACCGACACTTGGACTTCTGGTCAAAATTTGAGCTATATGTGCTTGACTGTGCATTTTATTGATGATGAGTGGAAGTTACATAAAAGAATTTTAAACTTTTGCCCCATTGCTGGTCATTCGGGTGAGCTTATAGGTAAAGCAGTTGAAAAGTGTTTGATTGAGTGGGAGATAAAGAAAGTTATGACTATCACAGTAGATAATGCGAGCTCAAATGACTTAGCTGTGAAATATTTGAGAGGAAGGTTGAACCATTGGGGTGGTAGTGTGTTAGATGGTCAATATCTTCATATGAGGTGTGCAACACATATTTTAAATTTAATTGTCAAAGATGGTTTGAAAGATCTTGATGCATCCATTGCTAAAATCCGTGCTGCAGTAAGGTACGTGCGGTCTTCTCCGGCTAGGTTACAAAAGTTTGTATGTTGTGTAGAAGAGGAAAAGATAGATTCCAAAGGTCTTGTGTGTTTGGATGTGGATACTAGATGGAATTCTACTTATTTTATGCTTGCTTGAGCTGTTAAGTTTAGAAAAGCATTTGCTAATTTGCAGTCCAAAGGAGGTCCTTACGTTAAGGAACTTTTGAAGTATGATGGCTTAGTTGGGGATCAGGATTGGGATATTGTTGGTCATTTCTTGCCTTTCTTGGAAATTTTTTATGACGCAACATTAAAGTTTTCGGGAAGTCTTTATGTAACTGGGAATTTTTATGTGCCCCAAATTTTCGGGATCGGAGATGTCATATCGGCCTATGGTGAGAGTGAAGATGTCGGTATTAAGAAGATGGCTCTTCAGATGCAAGCCAAACTGCACAAATATTGGGGAAATATTAATAATGTTAATATCCTATTGTTTGTTGCATTGGCTCTTGACCCGAGATATAAACTTGATTATGTTGAGTTTGTTGTTGGTTGCTTTTATGATAAAAGAAAATCTGAAATGTTGTGTTCAAAAATTCACGAAGCATTTAAAGTGTTAGTTGACACCTACGGTGCTTTCAAGCCACAAGCAAAGAAGTTAGTAGGGAATCCTAAGCCACTTAGTTGTCCATCACAGTCAAAAAGTTGTGAAACATTAGATGTTCAACAACGTCTAAAAATGAAGTATAGAATGAATAAAGCGTCGGTGGATACAAAGACTGAGTTGGACAAGTATTTAGGTGATGAATGTGAGCCAGATGAAAGCGCGTTTGAAATTTTGAAGTGGTGGAGTGCTAATCAAAATAGATACCCCATTATTTCCATGATTGCTCGAGATATTCTAGCGATACCAGTTTCTACTGTTGCTTCAGAGTCAGCTATTAGCACCGGAGGCCGCGTTCTTGATTCTTTTCGGACATCTTTGACGCCTCGCATGGTGGAAGCTTTGGTGTGTGGACAAGATTGGCTACGTGTTTCTCGTACTCATGTTTCAGTAGAGGAGAGTTTGCTTGAACTAGAGGACATGGAAGAAGGTTAGTTTATTCTTATGTATGTATAGTGAAATGCGAATGTTAATCTGGTTTTATCCTTTTTATTTACTAATAATGGGTATGGAAAGCTTGACTTTGGAGCAGCCCGTGATTGAAATTGAAGATACTATTTCACTTGTTGAAGAGACCTGGCTGAATGAGTCAGGTATATATATTTAATATTTATATTGATTTGAAGCAGTATCTATTTGAAAATGTTTCAGTTAGTTGGAGTTTTAATTTGTTGAGCCTATATTTATATTGTTGGAGTACGCATTTGTGCAGAAAAACATGTTTTCAGTACCTTTTAGTTGTAATGTTGTTTTTGAGAGGGACTTATGCAACTTTTATTTTCTAGCATGCATTAAATAAAGGGGGGTTTTCAGCCTCCAAAAATAACAAGGCAGTGATTTTCCATTTCATTTCGCTATTAATCAACTTATATTTGTATGTCAGCATGTACTAGCTTTGTATTAAAATTATGTCCATTTTTCTTGATACTCTGTATAATTGTATGCAAGTTAGTATGGGAAGGATTTGGCATGCAGCAGAAGGGGACAGAAGTTGATGGAGTTCTTGAAGTTGGGGAGGAGTAGTTATGTCTCAAAAATTTTCAGAAGGTGAGTTTCTAAGCAAGTTATATTTTTTGATCACTTTAATTGTTTTGGTTCATTTCATGTACAACAATGCAATGGATATTCATTTCTTATCAACCGCCAACTTTTAATATGTCACTTTTATTTTTGTAGGGAAATGAAACAAATCTTGAAGTTGAAGGCTTGTAGACTTGAGCTGCTTTTTTTTTTGCTTTGGAGATAAATTATGAGACTTGATTTGTTTTTTATATCAATTCTAGTCTATGGAGTCATGTATTTGTTAACACCAGTGTATTCTTGTATTTCTGTTATCTTCTTCAAAACTTGATCTGCTTATGGATTTTTTATTATGATCATAGAACTTTAGAAAATTATTTTTAGTTATGATTTTATGGTTTTCGGTTAACCGATTTGTGGACTTGTGGTTAACCAAAATTTTGGTTAACCGATACTCAATTAATCGAAGCTTTGGTTAACCGAAGTATCGGTTAACCGAAGTAACAAGTTTCACGGTTAACCGGAAAGTTGGTTAACCAAAATCCGGTTAACCAACCATGCCCACCCCTTATTATTATGAGTTGATGTCAAATTATTTGTTTTTTTTTCGGGGCGGGTACGGTTGAACTAAATGTAAGTCGTGTATAATCACATATATTATATTTATGTATAAATATTTCTAACAAGTAAAAAGTGGAAATTTTAAACTTTGGCCAACCCCATAATATGAAATTTTCAAAATCCGCCTCCCTAATTATACTTTAGTGCGATTATTATATGTAAAAAAAATATTACTAGCTAATACGTTTTTCACCATATTACAAATGCAATAAAACGAATAAAAAGAGCAGTTTATTGACTATGTTGGTTGATTCTTTGTAATCAACCTAAGAGCAGTGCATTGATTTTCCGAATGCTGTTAATTTATCAACATCGATGGTTTACAGGCTACAGCATGTCTTAGACAATGAAAAGAAAAGAAAAAAATCTACGGAATTAATTTATTCTTTTAATAATTGCATCCACAAAACGATCCGATACGAATGAATCATTATTCATTATATTCAAAATCAAGATCCACAGAGAGAATGAAAGACGAGATCTGACGGATCCAAACGGGTCGTTGGCCGTTGCGGGCAAGGACTCAAGGAGTGTCTAGAAAACGGGTCGTCGGCCGGGGCGATCGGCGGCTTGGAGGTTCTTCTCGATGCGCTGTTGTATTTCGCGGCTTCGGATCGCCACTCTCACGCTCGAGCTTTTTTCTATAACCACGTACGGCTTCTTCGCGCCCGATTTCTTCTTCTTCTTCTTCAGCTTTTTCACCTTCGACACGATGGAATCAACCAGGAACCGGATTTCCATTTTGGTTTACCTCTGACACAGAAGGGAATTCGAGACGATGTGAAGAAGCAGGTACCGGGAAATGGCGGTGGACGCGGCGGAGATTGTGGCGGCTTGACTGGGGATTTATCACTGGCTATCTTTTAGAGGTCGGATTGATTTGATATCCACTCAGACTCAATCGGGTAGCGCTATCTATAAGGTATATTCCCACTCGGTTGACTGTTGATGAAATTGACCGGTTGACCAACTTACAAAATCGCCCATTCTTTCAAATCATATTTACGGTTCTGCCACTATTTCCTAGTCAGAAGCCTTACTTTACGTAGTACGGTTTTGAATTTTAAGCCACCGTTTGTTTGTACTATTCTTCAATCGGCTATGACTTCACATGTAGTTCCTCCCTCGCATCCGTGTGTTACCCGAAAAAGGTATTTAAAGAAAGACTTTAATTATACGTGCTACCTCTGTTCCTAAAAACTTTGCCAAATTTGATCGACACGAAAATTAATAAAATAAAAACTGTGTGGTTAAGGTTTGTGGAGAGGAGAGAAAATCAAATGGAACGATAATTTATTTGCTTAAAAGAGAAAGTGTCAAAATTAGTGGAGGCTCCAAAAAGGGAAAAATGACAAAGTTTTAAGGGATGGAGGGAGTAGTATATTTATACTCCCTCCGTCCCGGAATTATCTTCATTCTTTCCTTTTCAGTCCGTCCCAAATTTATCTCATTTTTTCCTTTTTGGTAAAAAATACGTGGTTCACAACCATTCTTACACATTTCTCTCTCCTCTGCATAACTCTCCACCACACAAATCTCATTATCTTAAAACTCGTGCCCGGTCAAAATCGGAGTTAAATATGGGACGGCGGGAGTATATAACTAGGTTTCAAGCCGTGCGATGCACGAGCGGTATGTAATTTATCTAATTTAAAATTTGATTGGTTTTCGGAATCATATATAATGTGACGTAGAAGCAAAATAAACTCAGTCTAAATATAGAGTCTGTTTGATAATACTAATATTGGTGGAATCGGTTTATTTTGCTGAAATTAATTAAATTCTAGCTGAATAGGTTGAATAGGTGAATATCCCGAATCGTGAAAAAAATATTCCATTTGTTAAATAAATAAAAACTATATGAAAAATAGTATAAATAGTATAAATGATCTTCTATATAAGCTTCTCTGCTAAGCATACTTGTTATGAACCGGATTTCAAAGAATTCATAGAGAAGCTTCTTAATTATTTTCATGTCCTCTAAATTACTTTATTATGCGCCTCAAAATATATTTTTTAATATTCCTCAATCAACTTGGTATGAAATATGGAGTACATACTTTTAATAGTAAGATTTTACATTTTACTTATTATTTCATCTCATTGAAAACGTCATTAATAAGGACGTTTTTAATTGAATTAAAATTTTCAGCTTTGATTTGGTCTAAAGTAATATGATCTGGTAGATTTCTGTTTTACATTTTTATGTCTCCAATTATTATTAAAGTTTGATCTGATCTGATTTAGTCTGAGGCTGAAATCAATCTAATTAAAAACATCTTAAGAGTAAACAAAATTAGGAATTCGTAAACATATAAAGATTTCCTAATTTAGATTAGGAATCGATCAATTTCAAAAGTGACGGAATCTTGAGCCATTTGTTTTCATATCAATATGCAATCAAAAATAGAATCCAATAAAAATAAAAGGTACGGAGTATAAAAATAACTAAATAATTGCTATATATGATGGATGACATGGCAGGATTATGTGGCGCTTTGTATGCTCTTAAAAATATTCTCTTATATATATTAATTTATAGATTTTATGCCTTTATAAAAATATTTTAATATGGAACATTTGATTTACTTTTGATATTCAACATAATTTCATATTAAAAATATGAAGTATATTTAATCAAAATTAATTGTTGTTGATTAAGAAAAGTCAATTAAGCAACCTTTATGGAGAAATGAAGTATAATGTTGTCTAATTTATTTAATTACGGTTATAATGTGAATTTGTCTAGTTTGATATGTTAAATATTCATACTAAGCGTGTTTTTAAAACTATCAAAGTTTGGTATATTTGGTCCAATCCAATTTAGGACGGAAACCAATAAAATTAGGGGAAAAAGTTAAAGAACACTTCGATATCCCAAAAAGATTGATCAAATTTCTTTTTTTGGATATCCCAAAAAGATTTGGACAAATTGCCCAATCTAAGAGTAAACATTAACATAATTGCACAAATAGGAGTAAAACTTAAAACTTTCTTCAATAGGAGTAAACATTAATTTTGTACCCTTAATATCCCTAACCTAGTTAATTTTAAAACATGACTTATTTGATCCTATTAAAAAAATCTAAGTTCATTCACCGGAAATGAACCTTTATGCAGGCCATTTAATTTTAAAAATAATCTAAGTTCATCCCAACAACATTAAATATTAAAAAATAAAAAGTTATTTTTGTAAAAAAAAGACTTTAAAAATAAATAAAAAATAGATAAACTGTATTAAAAAATATTAAAATATGTTGGCATTTCCCGCAGCCTCGGTCATCACCCAACAATGTCACATCTGCTCGGCTAAAAAAAAACTATTTTATGTAAAATCTGCCATTTTTTTTTGAAAATGTTATAAAGATGGCAACTTTACTCTTTGAAAATTCCAATTTTTCTCAAAATCTGCCATTTTGATGTCATTTCGGGAAAATGTTGACATTTTTTGCGGTGGTTGGAGCTAGTGGTGCTGGGAGGTTGTTGAGGCGGCGGGGGACGCCTACATATTCTTTTATATTTTTTCATTTTTTATTTTTTTTTAATTTTTTAAGTTTTTTATTTTTTATTTTTTATTTTAATAAATTTTTATTTTATTTAATAAGGAGTATATTTTATTTGATGTTTTTGTGTTTTTTTTTGTTTTTTTTGCAAATTTATTATTAATTAATTAATCTTACGGAGTATTTCTTTTATGTTTTAATTATTAATGAAAGTTGTTGGGGCTTGGGGCTTAGGTAAGGGTATACTTGTCCAAACACTAAAGTTACACATATTCAAAACATGTTACTCCTATTTTTGCATTTTGCCTATGTTTTACTCCTATTTGTGGAATTCTCTCAAAGATTTGACATTTCCATTTAAAGTAAAGAATATGTGCCTAAAATTAATTATTTCTCCTCTACACAAATTTCAACCACTCAGTTTTTATTTTTCAATCCACGTGAAAGTCAACTTTTGCCAACCTTTTCGGGACGGAGGGAGTATGTTTTTGTATGTGATCCGTACATTTTATCTTTTCATAGATAATTAGTACTTCCTCCGTCCCATATTTAACTCCGCTTTTGATCGGGCACGAGTTTTAAGATAGTGAAATTTGTGTAATGGAAAGTTATACAGAGGAGAGAGAAATGTGTAACAATGGTTGTGAACCACATATTCTTTACCAAAAAGGGAAAAAGAAGATAAATTTGGGACGTACCAAAAAGGAAAATATGAAGATAATTTTGAAAAAAGTACAAATTTTACAAAATTGTGTCCTTTTTTAGACCGATCGTGACATGATAAAGGGAAATTGACTACGATACCAATAAAATATACTCGATGAGTACAAAGGAGCAGTCACTTTTCAGACTGCTTCTCCCACCACACGAACCCGCTACCTTCATTACCATCCTCTCCCTTATCAGCCGATGAGCAACTTCGTGAAAGTAGGGAGAATCATTGGGAGCAAGACCTCCCTCATCTCCTTTGGTGGGAATTGAACCCAAGACCTCCCACAAAGGAGAGACTTGGGGGTGGATGGTCATCCATTGGACTACACCCACCTTCCCGAATTCACATTTTCTTTATTCTTATACAAAGACACAGGAGTATAAAAATGTTACGTCTCCACGTGTTGTACATTATAGAAATAGCTCAAATTTATACTCACTCCGCCCTAAAAGATTGATACATTTTGACTTTTTTTTTGTCAATGATAGTTAAGTTTGACCAATGATATCTTTTAATACAAAATTATTTAACATATCAAAAT